ATTTTTTCCCCAATTTTATTTTATTTTATTTTATTTTTTGGAGTCCTTCTTCCCTCGAGTCAGCGGGACCAGAAAGGATGTCAAACAGTAGCAAAGTGAAGGGAAACACAAAGAAGAACTAAGTCAAGCGATGATGGGTGGTGGCAGGAAAAGACCTCAGAGAACTCCACCCCTCTGCTATCAAAGTAGATATCACTGTTACATTGCAGCTTTTGAAATCTTTATCCTTGGTGTCTGGAAACACTCGACGTGTTCATGTTCTACTGGGTTCAGCAGGGAGGATCGCCCCCACCCCCGCTTTTGGATTGTTTTTGTTGTTGGAGGTCCTGCCAACCTGTGTGATAGTGTGGCCACTGAGTGCCTGCCTGCTGCAGAGTGCAGTGCTGCAGCAGCCCTCGCCCCCTCCCTCCATCTCCCACGCTCGCTCGCTGCCTCCCTGCGGACCCTTACAGACTAGCTTCCCTCCTCTTCCTTCTCCTTTTCCTCCCAAGAGCAGCTCCTTCAGAACTGGCCCGCCACCTTGTATTGAATCTACTACTCACTACTACTACTGCTACACCAGAGTCTGTCAGCAACCTCCACTTCCACTCTCTCCTCCCGTCTCTCTCCTGCAAGGATCACTTTATCCGGAGACGGAGTCGACTGATGTTTTGTTTTATTGTATTTTCCCCTTCTTCTTTTTTTCTTTTTTTTTTTTTTTATTGGAGTTGCTGGTGTGCATTTTAATTTTGTTTTGTTGTGAGAAGTTTGCTGATATTGTTGCTGTTATCATGAACGATTGTTATATTTGATGATTTCATGGTCTTTATGCAGTGTTCATCTTCTTTCCTGTCCCTCCCACCGCCGCTGCCTCCAAGGCAGAACCAGCGTGTAGTTTAGAGGTACGCCTCAGCCGCGTGAATCACTGAGGGAGGGGGTTCAGAATTGAGGAGTCAAATCAGGATGAAAAGGAGGGGGGTGTAGTTTAAGGTTCTCCAGGATGACAAGCCAACTTCTTCTGTCCATCCTGGGGTGACCGAGCGTCCACTGCGCTGTGTCGTAACACACCCATCGTTTTTAGTGTTGATGGGCCTCGCTCACGCTGGTGCTTTAACTCTGGGAGCACCCAGTTATCACTTAGAACCACCTCAACTTGATGACAGCCTTCCATTTCTATGCAAAGACAAGGAGGTGTTCGCTCACAGCCATCCCCTTCATCCGCCAATTTTCCACTTAACCCTTTCAACCTTTATTACCGGGCAGCTTCTCTTGAAACCTCACCTGGATTCAAATGTAGGGGACACTGATGGAGCCTCTCTTCAGAATAGAAAAAATAAAGGGTGGGGGCGGGGCGTGTAGTGGACAGAGCTGTTAGATGACACTAAATGACCTGCTGGAGGCACCAAGTTGAGTTTTTGTGCCAACAGATTTCTAAAAGTCTACTTCCACTTTTGGCCACATCCTGATTTATCCTTAGCAACAATGAGTGTATGTTATCGCTGCAGGGCTGTGGGAGCTGTGGGAGGCTTAAGGCCAGATGAGTGGAGCTGGTCACTCACCAGTAGGAGGAGGAGGAGGGAGCGTCCCTGTATGTGTCTGTGCACTGTTTATGGGTCACATCGGGTACATCTCTTTAAAAACCAAAAACATTATCTTTCTTTCTCTTTTTTCCTTTATCATCAAGGTTTTTGCAAAAACTAGAAACTACAAAAAAAACCACAGTCTGTTTCAGCTGTGCACTCTGAGGCCGAGACGCCTGATTTCTGTTTCTCTGCAAGCTGCCGCCTTCTCACCCTCTCTGGGCTCGTTTCTCCGAGCCACGCCTGGGAGAAGCTGTATCCTGGAGGTTCACTCTGGACCTCCAAACCTGAAGGTTGTGCCAGCCAGTATACACGCATATATATGAATATATAGAAAACAGGTCATGTCTGCACATTTGACTTTGGGGGTCCAAGCGGGGATCTGACGTATCAGCAGAAACAAGAGACGCACCTCAAGTTCGGTACCAAGTCTTAAAACTCTTTGCGGGGTGGTTTTTGACCCTCTTCCAGAGTCACTTTAGACTCGCATCATTCAACGAAACAATCACTATTGCCTGTGCTGTCTGTTTTTGTGCGATTGTTCCTGAAAAACCTGCATTTTGCTCCACACTGGACTTGAATCAACGGGAGGAGGGGGAAGTTGAACCGAGTGGGAGGGATGGGTGACCAGGACAGTCTCAGACGTGCCCTGGGATTTCACCAGCACTGAGAAGCCCCACCCTCTCCCACGCCTTCGTCTGCACTCTTATCTACCTGTCTAGTGTTGGAAATCACATCCTCCCCTCCCCCCTCTGATTTTTTTTACGATTTATTATTGTTATTTTAAGTCACACGGACTCAAAGGCAACTGGAGCTCGAGTAAAATCTACTTCTCAGTCGTGGATCAGTCGAGGATCTGGGGGCAAAAAGAGCTGAATTAGCAAATCTCTAAAAACAAAGGTCTGGGTTGAATATGCACATGCTAGCTCATACACAGGATACAACCAAGCGTACATTTGTGGGTGTATGTGTGTCTATGGCTAGATTTCTGTTTTCCACTTAAGCCTAACGCCCCACCCACCCACACCCTTACCTCCCCGCCCTCTGCCCTGGCATCAGCTCCTTACCCTCTGTATCCAACATCAATGTTTCCCAGAAGACAAGATCATAAACATATCAGAGTAATACAAAATAATGAAAACAAATACTTGAATCAAAAGAAGCGCCAATAATGTAATGTGAACACTTTTTTTTTTTTTTGTAGTGTTTTTCTTTTTCTTGTCTCATTCATTCACTTTGGAGTTTTATTTTATTTTATTTTTAAGCATCAGTTCAGAGTGAAAAAAAAAAACAAAGATCGGTTTTAAAAAGATTTTTTTTTTTTTTTTTTTTTTAAAGGCAAATTTACATCAGTCGTATTTGAGTGTTTGCACAAGGCCGCTTGTACTGTACGTTGTGAATGAATGTCTGCGAGGTGAAACGATGCGTGAGAGCTCGTGATTACAGCGGAGGGATCTCTGCCTCACGTTTCTCTTCAGTTCAGTATCATTTTTGTTGTTGTTTTCTTTTTGCTTGTCAAATACTATATTCTGATGTTAATTGTTACTAGCCTCTAGCGTTGCACTGAGTGTCAGCCTCACCCCTCATCCAGCTATATGAACAACATGATACAAGTACTGAGGGGAGGGGGGAAGAGGTATCTGGGGGGACAGTTCATGTGTAAATGTTTACTCAAGGACTAAAAATAAGTGTGTTTTTAAAAAGAAAATGTAATGTTTATCTACCTTAGTGGCTTTCATTGTGGAATAATCCAAGAAAGTATGGATCATAATTGAGTATTGCACCATTTTTCAGACTATAAACTTTAAAAAAAATCAAAAAAAAATCATATGTATAAAAAAAAATGCAGCAAAAAAAAAAGTATTTTGCAGACCTGTGGCCATAGATTGGGGTAGAAGGACTTCAGCTCTCCCAAATCTGAGCAACGGAGGGTGAAGGACATGACATCAGACCGAGCCTTGGCTTCTAGGGCTCATTCAGAGGTGCCTACCTTTTTATTTTTATTTTATTTTTCGGGGTTTGTTAGCTTTCGTTCGGTTTTCTCTTAGTTCACTCATCTGTTCTTCTGCAAGGCCACTGACAGTTTACAGTTTTTATTCTGGAGTTCAGAAACAAATCAGCAAAACAAAGGAATGAAACCATGTGGGGAAACTAAAAAAAAAAATAAAAAAAAGATTAAAAAAAAAAGGACAAATGCTTCCATTTTTAAGAAAAAGTGCAACACTTCACAGAATGAAGATTTTATTGTGCTACTTTCAGAACTCTGGGATTGAACAGTGTTGTCTTGTTATGTTTAACCTTCTTTATTCTGTGTTAATGTTGTTCATGGACTATCTGAAGCCTGTTTGTTTTATGTTGATTATATATATTTTTTTCCTTTATATAAAAAAAACAGAAAAGAAGACAAAAAAAGACATAATTGCTCACTATCTTGCACACACACGAAAAAGTGGATCTTGTCTCAGGAAGGCCAGGGTTCCAGAGTACCAACTCCACGCCATTTTAATGTACATTTTTATGAGTTTAAAGAAAAAAACAAAACAAAAAAAAAACAAAGGATGACTTAAAAGAAACAATTCTAAGCACTGAAAGTTATGGATTTCAGAAGAAGAGAGAATACCTTTTGTTTCTAAATCCGTAGCAGTTACATAATAACCAAATAATGGACTTTAAAATAAAAATGGAGTGCTTTATATATAAATCTATATATTAAAATTGCTTTACATGGAAAAAACAAAAATGGTCTGAGTTTGTTTAAGAAAAAAAAAAGATGGTGAATAACATGCAAAATGCTGTATGTTTGAATCTTTATTGTGTTTTCTTAATGAGGTCCCGTCCTGACTGATTCAGGAAACATTGTGCATTAATCTCTTTCTCTCTCTCTCTCTCTCTCTCTGTGTCTCTCTCTCGCTCTCATTCTCCCACAGCGGGTATTAATATTAATAATAGATGAATTTTGTTTTCTTTCTTTTTGTGGAGCATTTTTCACAGCTTGGAGGAGGTTTGTAAAACGTGAGCTGGTTGTAAAAGGATCATGAAACTATGCACAAGTGTTTGGGGTGGGGGTGGGAGGGGTGAAGGTGGGGATTTTATGGCCTACTTGCTGTAGGTGGCTGATCTATTGCAGGGGTTTTGGGGATCCAATGTGTTTTTATTTGTTTGAGTTGTTTTGTTTTTTTCTTTGATAAAGAGGGCAGAGAGGGGTTGGAGACCTCCATCTCCAGCTTCCTCCCCCCACCCTCTGATTCAGATTGGCCTAGCGCTACATCACCATGCTGTGTATTCCTAAAAACCAATGAGCGTCTCACTCTTTAGCACTGTGGGATTCTAGCCTGTCACCCTCCAAGGGTTTTTTTTGTTGTTGTTGTTGTTTTTGTTTGTTTTTCTCCTCGGTTAAGGTTTTACAGAGGGTGGGTGGGAAAGTTATGGGATTAGGGCTGCTTTTTTTTTTTTCTTTTGTTTGAATTATTAAGTAAAAACGTCTGTACTGAGAGTTAATGAGAAGTCAGTGGCTTGTAATGTTTTGTTTTTATTTTGTTTCTCTCTGTATATCTCTTACTCCTCATAGAATGTGATTGTTAAATGACATGCACCGAAACAAATGTTTTCATGAACTATGGAGCTTCTTTCAAATATTAATAAAAATAGCATTTTTTTGTTACTTGGCTGTTAAAGCCGTCCCCTTCTCATGTATTGCTTCCACCAAGAAGGTTTAATGTGTGTTGTCCTGTCTGTAAACACGATAGCTCAAAGACTTTCCACAGAGTGTAGAGCGGGGTCGGGTTAACAGTCCATCGAGGTCTTTAAGGTCGACTCAATGATTTATTGGTCTAAAATTGACAAAAAGCCTTCTGACTCAGACACTGATTCTTACAAGTGTGGTGTGTTATCAGCGTAAAAATTTATCGTGTAAACAGCGATGTTTAACTCATTTCTGTCATTGTGAAGAAGTTTAACCACACACTGAATCTCCCAGATGTAAGGAAAAAAAGTGCAATTTCAGCAGAACATCAGAGTTTGTGATGAAGAAATGCTGCTGTAGTTAATAGAAATGGAAGAGTAGATTGTGAAAAGACTGTTACTTTGTTTATATATTACTTAATTACTTTGGTGTAGTGTGACTGGTCATGGGGGAGGTCTTCTCTACCTGGCTGTTTCTGGCCCCCAAGCCATATAACGACACCCCTGGTATAAGGATTTAAAATGTCAGCTTGACTGCTCCTTCAAGCTCAGTAGATTTAGCTGAAGATAAAAGTGATAATAATGTTATAAAGAGCTATTTTTGTTTTGCTAACTGATAATGGTGTGCAGGAATTCTAAATGTCACATGTGACCTCTGACCTCATTTTTACTTTTCACGTCTGCCTTTCTTTCAAGTTGAGCCAAAATGAGTTACAAGTATCACTAACCATTTTTAAGTATCACCACTCAAATGTTTGATCACATATATAAAAAGGGTTTTGAACAGAGAAAAACTTCTTAAATTATGTTTAAAAAGAACAAAGTAAACTAAATGCATGTGTACAAAATACAATTTTAAAAGTGAATACTGCTCAGAGAGTGAGTCGCCTCAGTGGAGGTTCGTGCTATTTCTTCATCCTTTTGTATCCTGAATGCAAATCACCATCAGAGCGTGTGCAGCGCTTGTATTTTTGCAAAGGCGTCTGTTATTTCCTGTTACTGCTCGCAGCACCGTTGGCCCGATGGTGTCAGTCTCTCAGTTTGAGCTGTCTGGGACAGGCATAGTAGTTGTCCTGAAGCTGTCGGATGTTTGGGTTAGCGTACACGGGGAAGTTGACTTCCTCCAGGTGCGAGGGGGCCTCGTGGTTATTCTGGGGGCCTCTGGGGCTCTGGTGCTGCTGCTTCCTGCCCATTTCCTCATAGATCGGAGCATGAGGTTGTGGTTTGCGATGAGACCTTAACTTCACCTACAACACATGTTTGGGGTTTTTTTTTAGATTGTGATAGAACAAAAAGTTTCAGCTTTTGTTTTTGTAGCTTGGATGTGTCGTCTTGATTTAAAAAAATAAAATAAAAAATCCCTCGGGGGGGTTTCAGTCTGAAAATATCAAAATACTCCAGTAATCTCTCCTTTAACGCTCACTCCACCAGTACCTGATCACAGACCTTATAAATAAAGTTTGTTACTTAAAAAGGCAAATGATACTAATTACATTAGAAACTGTTCTGTCCTTGGGTTTTGCACCTTGGCTATTTTGTGCAAAACTGATGGTATTAATAATAACGCAGCAGGAAATGAAGCGTACAGTCATTTGAGGTTGTCTGGGTTGTTGAACACAGATCCTGCTGTGGTTCACCTCTAACTTGGGCTCCTGTCTGCTAATACCTTTTGCACATTTTGAGTAACGATGCTGCAGTCACACATCACACTTTATCAGAAGGTTCCCTCAAAAAAAAACAGATGACTGTCAGACCAGGATCATAGCCGACACATTAATCGATAATTAGCCTCGTCTAACTCACTCGTGCAGCTGTAGCCGTTATTTTGATGGAGTTATGCAACCAAACTATCAGAGCTCAGTTAAAGCTGCATCTCTGAGGTAACTACTCACACATTTCTGCATGGCCAGCCAGGTGAGGGTCAGCAGAAGAAGCCCTGCTGCTGTGAAGATGGTCCAGAGTAGAGGGGCGTAACCAGGAGAGCAGTGGCACGGCCTCCCTGCAGCACAAACAACAGTTAAATCTCAACAAGCTTGAATCCTGCACTGTGAGGTGGTGTAACCACATACCTGCCACCTCAACCAGCACGAAGGTCTTCTGAGCGCAGAGGATCATCTGATCAGAGCTGTTAGTGTCTCTGTAGCTCAGATCCCACATGTACAGCCCTGTGTCGCTCAGCTCTAAGCGAGAAATGGTCACGTTGACCTTCATGGAGCTCAGGTCTCCACGGAGCACCAGGCGAGCTCTGTGATCCGTGGCGACCGTGACCTCACCGGCCTCAGTCACGGACACCAGGGTTGTCTGGCTCTGGACACCGCGGTGGTACAGGTGGAGGCCCGTCAGGCCTCCGTGGGCCTGCCAAGGGGAGCAGGAGATCACCACAGCCTGACCCTCCGTCAGACGTTTTAAGATCACCTCTGCGTTGGCTGAAGGAGGGAATGATAGACGTTAACTCCACACGGAAATATGTCTCAACATCCCTGAGGATTAACCCTTCTGTCTATCACATGTCCAAACAGCTGGAGAAGGAGCCATCAGATTTTCCACTTTCTTTACGTCTCGTTGTGGAGGTTGATTTGTTTCCCCCATCATGAGATCAAATGTTCCTTTTATTCATTACCAAGGTTTATGATTTCAAACCTTCTCTCACAAACTTTTAGTTTAAGTCTACACACACACACATTATTATTAATATGATTCAAATGTCCGTATTTCTTACCTTCGAACAGCTGAAAGAAAATAAGAATCCAGGCCGGCCTCGCCTTCATTGTCCGTTCAGTTACAGAAGCTCTGAGATCCACCGCAGCTCAGTCATAATGTGTCTTTCCTCTTTGTTTCACACTCTTGTGAGTCTCTGTGGACAGCCTCACCCTATTTATTGTTCTTCACCTCGAAGCAGGAAGACGACTTCAAAGCGAGAGCAGCTGTTAAAATCCTCCCCTTGGTCTCCGAGCTCCACGCTGAGATTTTCTGACTTGTAAAGGTTGTCACGTGCTGGGTGCACACCCCTCTGAGTAAAAAACTACAGTGAAAATGAATCCTCAACATCCTCAAGAAGTTTTTTTTTTTTTTAATTAGTCAAGTAAAAACAAATATAGAGTTCTAACATGTGAATCTTCTGACTGCCTCCAACAGTCAGGTTACAACATTATCAACTAAACACAGATTAAATAAGAAAACTAGTTTGTTTCTGTGTGACTGTGTGAAGTTCCTGCAGTCAGGAGGCCATGCTTGGTGGAGCAGAGTGTGGGAGGTGGTTTTATAGCTTCCTTAACACAGAAAGATCTAACATACGTAAAACAATACAGAACATAAATCTGTGAACGTTACTTACATACTCACAGGAAAATTATCTTCTGGCTTCTCCCTTCAGGGGTCACCTCAGCAGCCCTCTGCATGTCCCCCTTCACTACATAAGATAAGATAAGATAAGATAACCTTTATTAGTCCCACACGTGGGAAATTTGTTTCATTCTGAGGTCTTCCTTTTTTCCTCCTTCCTGGCAGCTTCATCTTCAACATCCAGCTGTCCCTTCTCTGCACATGCCCAAACTATTTCAGCCTCACCTCTCTAACTTTGTCTCCAAACCTGAGTTGTCCGTGTGATGTACTCATTCCTAATCCTGTCCATTATCATCACTCCCAATTAAAATCTTAACATCTTCAGCTCAGCCTCCTGTCTTTTTGTCAGTACTACTGTCTCAAAACTGTACATAATAGCAGGTCTCACTACCATCTTGTAAACCTTCCCTTTCAGTCTTGCTGCCACCCTTCTGTAACAAAATCATCCCTGACACTCGTCTCCAAGAGTTCCTTTTCATTCTCTTTACCCACACACAGAAAAATAACTTAAAAGATCATGTACATGGAAATATATATGATGTGATTCATTTAATGAATTTGTTCAGTAAGTTTTTTTCAGTAAGGGCCATTCATTAGAAAGCCTCAGAAATAAAATATCACCTAAAAGTGTATGTAAATGAAACTAAAGCAAAGAAAGACAAAATAGGAATTATGTTCTATAGGACCCACACACAGCACCAGAGAACTACCTTATACATAAACAAAGAATAAAATGTAAATAATAAATCATTAGTAAAAAAGAAATATGATGCATTTTATTTGAATGCATCATATTTCTCATCTCTGGGTGTAACAGTTGACCTGTATTATATTATTCACTATCAGCTCTGCCTTTGTTAACAATGAAGGTTACTGTGCTACTGGGCCACGTGCGTAAATGCGCTCATCTCTTTTGCTTTCGGGTTTTTTTGTTTTGTTTTGTCTCTTTGTTGCACATTGCAATATTCACACATGAACATCTAACAAACATTTCCTCAATCTCTAACATCGTTACTAAATCAGTACAGTGAAATCTGCGCACTGCTCAGATAAAGACAGCGCAAATCAGCTGATTTCTGCCCCGTTTCATGACGATCTGAGCCAGGGGCGATTTTAGTCCATTTTTGGGCTGAAGCACCCCCAAAGATTTCTTACTTTTTTGACAATATTTGCTGTTTTTGTGACACATTACTAAAAATATAAAAAGCATACAGTACGTAACATTTCAACAACAGAAGTATAGCTACCCCCCCCCCCCCCCCCCCCCCCAAAAAAAAAAAAATGGTTTGTTCCAGCTCGTCTCTCCCCTACTGTGAGACGCAGCGGAGCGGAGGTGTAAGTGCCTGGCTGAAAACAGGACATGTTAGCTGCATTTAACCTGCAGTTACTCTTTATATAGTTGGGCAGGAGTAGACCATGTTTCTTTTTAGCTGAAAACCATTACACCAGGTAACCTGCAGTGTTGAAAATGTGTCTTCCGATGATGTTTGCTACCCTACAATCCGTCCTACTCTGTAATAAAATCAGCGACATTTGACCGTCCTGTTGCTCCCATTGAATTTTATATAGCATATTTAAAATGTAAAACTTAAAATTCTCCGTAGCCTGCTGTTGTTACCACTGTCCTGTTTGAAATGGATACTAACTAGCTAACTGACTGAATGCCCATTAACATTATAACTCCTGGTGTGTGTGTGTGTGTGTGTGTGTGTGTGTGTGTGCGTGTGTGTGTGTGTACAGAGAGACAGCCAGGTTCATAATGGATATAAGGAAGTTTTTTTCAAAAAAAGGAGCAACATTCAGGTAAAAGTGTACCTGTGCACCAAATGATCCGTCAATAAAAGATAATGTTGGATCAGTGTTTCAATATTTATATCTTTTATTAGATGTTCATGTGGTTTGGTTATTTGCCTTTTGGTTGAAAGTACACTGAAAGAGGACTTTTTGTTAGCGATCTTAATAGTATTTTTTTCATATTAATTAAATTTTTTCATCTAATTGAATACAATCTATTTGTGTATGATTGTCAGTCCAAAGAGGGAGAGAGGAAAGAGGGGAACATGAGAAAGTACAAGGTCAGGAAGAGCCAGGTAAGAAAACAGACAGGGAACAGTGACAGGCACAACAGAAACTGTTTAAACTGACAAAGAAAAAAAAATTTACTCACACAATCAGGAAGTTGTGTTCTCCCTATATTAAAGCTGCTATACAGAATCTGCTAAACAAACTGGGTTGAAACATTTTGACCCTCTTTAACAACATTCCAACATAACATTATCATTGATTTGGGAGATTAAAATTAATGATATATTTTTATGTGGTTCAGCCACAACTCTACTAAAACCTCAGCCAGTAATAGGTAGGCCAACTTTTGGACCGTCCAGTCGTCTGTATGACTGCCACAGTACATACATCACATTTGCACACTATCAGAAAGTGCCAAACAGCCCTGGTGGAGTGAGGAGCTGTAAAGAGAAGCAGATGCTCTGTTTATATTCTAAAAATGTTTTAAGCTTGTTTCAAAGATTCTGTACTACAGCTTTAAATGTTTTCCAATAGCACACATACACTTATCAGTGTTTCTCAAACTTTTTACAGTGTGTACCACCTGAGAAAATGTCAAGCTCTCCCAAGTACCACTATGAAAGCATGAAACTCATAAATCTTACAACACAAAATTAGTATTATTAAATTAGTCAAATTAGTGTCTGCAGTAAAGATTTTTTCATACATTGTATACATTCTACCACAGGCAAAGTTGCCTCCATTTTTATTTATTTTTATTAATATTTTGTAATAATTTATTCTGTTTTGGGAGTATTTTTGTATGTATCTGTATTATATTATACATACTCATTAAAAGTGAATCTCTGTCCAAAAATGCACTCAGTTTACTTTTTACTCACTATGAGCATCATTCATTATTCTCCCCCAGTAATTAAGGTTAGGATGTGTATTTTTTTCTATTCCAATCCATTCATCTTTTGCAGCATTTAAATAAACTTTATCAGATTTGATGGTTTTGTTACAGACTTTTCAAAATTTGGGGATTAAATTGTGTTAAAATGTACAGTAACAAAAACAGTGATGTTGTGTTTTGTGACGAGGATCCAGGCACAGAGAGACTTGATGAATTTAAGAATCTTATGATTTAATAAAGAAATTTGCAGACTTGCACAAAGATGGTAAAATTATGATGACTGATAACAGAGACGAAGACAACAGATGACGAGGACAGGGAGGAACAGGGGTTTAAATGCACCAAGGAGACAGTCATAGAGAACTTGGGACAACTGGAGACATTTAAGGATGCAGGGACTGACAGAGACAGGGAAGACGTGTAAAGTTTATTTTGCCTGGTTGAGCAGCTCTCTGGGTGCTCAGCACCCCCAAAGCTCTGATCCTAGAATCGCACCTGATCTGAGCAGTGTCGTCGTTGAGCATCAGTGAGTGGGCGTCAGCTCTAAACACTCATCGTGAACACTGAAGAAGAGTTTCACGACAGAGCCATGTGGGCACCTCGCTCACAGCTTTGAGCCACTCATCCAATGTGCCAGTTACGCGCTCGTTCGCTCCCTCTCAGTACAAGTAAATTAACACTCACATAGAAGCAACTACTACAACCACGAGGTACACAAAGCACCCTTTTTCGGTGTTAGATCTTTGTACAGTTCCAACAGTTTCTCACAGACTGCTCTCGTTAACACGATCTGCATAAAGTACGTAGTTATATCTTTTCCCAAATCCATATGAAGCCTCCTACCCGTCTTTCCTACCCACTTTTCCTTCTGTGAAGAAAGGGAGTTTAGGAAAGGAGGCAAGAGGAACCCCGAGACTGCGTGGGTGCAGGTAGAAGCTCATTAGTGTTTGAGTGGACTCAGGTGTGCGGGGTACGCTGACGAGGCTGATTGGTTGAAGCTTAAAACGCTCCTCGTGTCAGCCTAGAGCGCTGTCTCGTGGGTCAGACAGGAGCGCTCGCGGTCCGAAGCTGGTTGCCTCGTTTTGTTTTCTTTATGGAGCCTTTACATTTTTGGGTTGACCTCCTCGTTGGGCTCTTCCTGTCGGGACTCTGCGTTCAGTCATCTTTAGTTTTCCCGCCGCCACCGCTTCATGCTTTCTTCCAGAGGGCTCCGCGTTCGTGGAGCCACAGCCACACTCACAGCGCGCACCAGGAGCAAAAAGAACGGGAGCACGTGAACACCGTTGGCGTGATCTGCCACCCGGACTCTCTGGAGGTCGTGATCAAGGCAGACATGTTTGCTATTGGAGCTCCTGTTAACAGCGACGACCTCCGCCTTGGAGTGGAGGGCAGCGACGACTGCAGAGCCGCAGCGGCCTCTGAGGATGAGTACAGGATCCACGCTGGCCTCGCGGACTGCGGCACCAAACACATGGTAACTAATCTGTGCTGCAGCTTATACACGTATTAAATCTTACATCGTCTACTTATAAACACACCTGCTCTCCACAGATGACTGAAGGATGTCTAGTCTACACAAACCTCCTCATTTACGCTCCTGTGGCCTCTCCTCATGGCGTAATCCGAATGGAGGAGGCTGTGATTCCAATTGAGTGCCATTATGAAAGGTCTGTATTCCCATTTATTTATTTTTAATAAAGTACACATTCAAAGATTATCAATATTCTTCACTCTTTTAAAAACGTGCTTTGTATTTTAGGAAGTACAGTTTGTCCAGCTCTCCACTCCAGCCTGCCTGGATCCCCTTCACATCTAGGCAGACCACAGAGGAACGCTTGGAGTTTGACCTGAAGCTGATGACAGGTGAGTTGACTTCCATCACTGACTTCTTGGCCTTGATTTTATGCTCACCGCTCTGCTCTCTGTGCAGACGACTGGCAGCACGAGCGTGGGGTTAATGTGTTTTACCTCGGCGAGCCCATCAGCATCGAGGCCTCAGTCAGAGTTGGACATCACGCGGGACTCCGGGTGTTCATGAACAGCTGTGTGGCCACTCTTCACCCAGACGTGAACACTCAACCCAGATACAGTTTTATTGAAAATGGGTAAGCACACAAAGGCCTGGATTTGGACTACGTTAGAGTGGATTTTAAGCCTGAGCGGGAGTTGCAAAGTAATGAGGGGCTAAAGTGATGAGCCATTTAGGGAGTGTAACTGTTGATGATGAAGATGGTGTAAAGGCTGGCTAGAATGGTTTAAGTTATGGAGACTTGAGGTTTATTAAAGTTTCTACAGTCAATGTAAGTTAAGTGTAGTTTATCTGACTCTCACATTACCCTAAAATCTTGTTTAGGTGCTTGGTTGACTCAAGGCTTCCAGGGTCGAGGGCCTTCTTCCTACTCAGGGCACAAGATGAAAAGCTCCACTTGGTGATCGATGCCTTTAGGTTCCACAATGCTGACAAAGGGGAGGTGAGAATGTATTGTGGCAGTAAGTCGTACTCTTGCAGATGTGCTTTCTTTGTCTTCCTGACAAATTCTCTTGTTAGGTCTACATCACATGCCATCTGACTGCTGTCCCAGTGAATGATGCAGAATCCACAAATAAAGCATGCACCTTCATAAATGAAAGGTGTGTCTGAAAGTGTCCAACAGATGATTGAAAGTCAATGCATGTGGGACTGACTAAAACGTGCCAATGATTCTCTTCAGGTGGCGGTCAGCTGATGGGAACGACTACCTCTGTGGGCAGTGTCAAAGCCAGAATGAAGTCGTCCAGCCCCGCAGTAAGCCCATCAGCCAAGGGAGATTTGGTCCCCGTGGGTTTGGGAAACCAGTGGAACCTGAACCGCTGAGGACTAATCAGGGTAGAGTTTCCAGTCTGTCCATTGTAGCTGCTGTTTAGTTTTGTGCATGCTGGTCACCACTAGATGTCAGCATTAACCCAGTTTTGTGCTTGAAAGTCTGATGGTGTCCTATTTTCTTTTGGGAAGTGTGGGAACATGAAGCTAAACTAGGACCAGTGAAGGTCTTGCACTCACAGAAGAGCAGGCCTCTACCTGTGGAGAAGCTGCCTGTGGGTCTCAATAAAATCGGCGGGCCTGTGTATGGCAGCCAGTGGAGAAGTGGAATACATAAACTTGGTAACCAGAAGGGCAACAGTAATTACTCATTTTTAGTCTGGTTTTGTTATAAGTGAAACTTCTTAAAATAATAGATTTGGAGAAAGGACTGCTTCCTGACTTGTCTGCACCAGACTTTGATGAGACTGATGGCAAAAGTGAAATGGCTGGAAAAGGTAAACTAAGGTCTTGTCAAGTCTTTTAAAATTTGAACAGTGATAATGTGGGGTTCTCTTTCCTCCAATTACAGGTGGGGAAGAAGATGCTCCTGAGTCTAAAGTGAACCTTGAAGAATCCTCTCTGGACAACAGCACCACTGCAGCTCCCCATGTCAACACCACCTCAGAGTTTGAAGTGGAGGAGACCATGCTGTCTAATGCAACTGCTATAGAGTCTGACCCTAAGAAATAAACTTAGCTATACATTGTACTCTGATCTGACTAATCTGTTCTGTCACAGTTACACAATCTTGCAAATGGACTGCAACAAGGCACATTTCTTTGGAAACACGGGGTCACTGGTCAAGATGAGACTTTTGGAAGGAGATCATGATGTAGAGTAGCAGGCAACATGGAGAAACCTTAGATTATGGGAGACTGCTGCACTTAACATGTTGCTGGCTCTAACTCCTATAGCTGTGGGAAGACCTGACGCGTGCACTTGAATTTTGATACTGGACTTGTCTTCTAACATGAGGTTGCGAGATGGTGCTGGTCTGTCTTGAATGAGGGTTGTATATGGAAGGAGATCCAGTTTTGAGTGACTTGCAGCTCATCAATAACACCAACAATGCACAGGTGGATGGCAGGATTATATTAAATATGGAGCTGTCAGGCAGGAGGAAGAAAACACAAGTTCTGGGATGTAGTGAAGGACGGAGCAAAATGGCAGCACTAACATGAGATTTTTAGTGATGATTGGAAACAATGCTTATGTATTATATACTGCTGGGGGGGAAGAGATCAAGGAACATTTTTTTAAAAAAAAAAAAAATTTAGATCAGATTTGAAATATTCGAGCTGAATCTGAAATGTGCTGTTTATCCATCAATAAAATGACTCGTCAGCAGACATAATCAACCCTTTGAGTGCCAGCATCAAAGTCAAGGCAATACATAAAACATCGATCTGAAGAATAATCAAACTGCTTCATGCAGTGCCAACGTCCAATAGTAGAAAAAGGCTGAATTAAGACATGATTCAGTTTAATCTGCAGTAACTGAGCTGGTCTCTGAGACATGCTGTCTGTCATGCCTGATTCCAGCACTGGAGGAAACTAGATTGCTCACTGTGGTAAATGAATTTCATTTAGGAACTTATTTCTCTACTTACAAGACAATCAGTTGGGGTGTTGGGTGGACAAATGTGAATGTGTCATCATGGCCAACATTTCTGCTGCTCCCAATAATCTCTCTATATGAACATTTTGGTGGCTGACCAAAGTTGCATGAGTGTCTTTGCAACATGAGTGACATCAGTTCACTGTGAAAACAAAACATAAGTTCAGAACCCTTGGCATTAATGTCATAGCCCTCTTTTCTTTTCGTTATTTTGTTATTGTTTTTATCGTTAACTCGGTTTTCCTGGGTCTTTTTACGTATGTTATGAATAAATCTTCTTTTTTTCGGTACCGGTGTTAGTTTTATTTTGTTGTATTTATCCGCGACACCTTAAACGCCGGTCCGTGAAAATATTGTCGGGCACAAACCGGTCCGTGGCGCGAAAAAGGTTGGAGACCGCTGCCTTAGAGGGAACATTGACAGGAGCGTTTAAACCTTTAATAGCTTCAAAATCTTTCCCACTTAAATCCGTCTTTGATATGAAAGCATATTGGCGATAACAGCTCCTTCAGCCTGTCTGGCTCTTTTCATTATGTTTATATTATAACCTACATATATCTGAGAATAAGGATGACCTCTGCTGTAGTTCCTGTTTCCTGCGGCTATAAAAGATAACATTTAACTCTTTATCTTGTTCAAAGAGGAGAGCATGCACTTTAGCATAGCCTCTTATTGGCTGACCTGAGACAGATGTTGATTCAGGGTTTTTATTTTGTAGGAAATAAACCATTTAAGTGACAAAAAATAATAATAATTTGATTTAGTAGCTCCATAAAATACAGCAAACATCTAGGCCTGCATTGTTGGCACCTCCCCTGGATTTTAAAATGTCTTGAATTGAGGTACAGATCACCAGACACCCCATCCTAGCTGGGCTTTATGTTTGACACCCCTGATCTACAGCGACTGTAAAGCTTTACAGCTTGGAGATGCTTCATGAGGAATGTTGTAAAGCTTATAGTTAGAAGAGGCTTAATCCTGTAACATTATGTTGGCAGTTTCAGATGCCGTGCGTGGTGACACCCTGAGGTCTGAGGACTTTGATGATTTTTCCCAGTAAGTTTGAAAAGAGCAAACACCTGGAAAACAAACTTCTCCTCCCTTATGGTGTCATGGTGCAGTTGTAACGGGTGTCTTAAAAAAATAATTTATATTTCACCAAAGATCCATCCTGTAGTGTTATTTTGCTTTGTCAGTTTTGGTTATGAATATGTGTTTATTTATATATATTTATTTTCTGTATTTATTTTTTGGGAGCTTTTATTTGGTTTGTGTGACCTTTGACCTTTGATGCATTTTGTCTCACAGTTTTGTCAGATGTTTTAGTGTGAATTGTTGTTTCCCTGTCGCGTACAGCACTTTATTGCAGCATGCTAATTAGCCGATCTCAGGTTAGGGCACAGGAGCATGCAGGTGGTTTCTCATGTGGTCCGCTATTCTTCTCTCTCCCCTGAAGGTGTGCGTGCAGAAGCCCACCTTCAGATTTGATTTATTTTTCTTTTGAACAGGTATGTGAGCTCCCTCTTTTATTTTTGTGTCATGTGTAGGACCTACTGGTTATATCTTTTAGTTGTTTGTAATTCATGTTCACTGCTTCAACTTATTGTTAAATATATGTAACTAAAAATATGTAAAATTGCCACTGGTAAATGGGGTCTCCCTAGAGCTTAATTTTGTTGTTGATGAGGAAATGTCACAATTCAGTGCATTTTAATTTCTTATATATGTTTAAAGATGTGTTCGAGTATTTTAATAGATCAATTTGTTATTGTGTTGCACCTCAGTCGCCTAGAGGCCCCGCTGAGGAGAGGTGTGCATGCAGAAGCCCAGTAAGATGAAGTTGCTGTACGGATTTATTTTTATTTTGAACAGTCGCCTTGACGCACCGCTGAGGAGAGTTATGGGAGAATAAATCCGCCCCAGCTGCCAAATTGAGAGTTGACTCCTCTGGTCATTCGCACAGCACAACGCAGAGAACACGGCGATCGGAGTTTCAGGCCAGACCAGCTACACAGTGTTAAAGGTGGATTAATATAACATAGAAGAGAAGCACTGTAAGTCCTTAAAAGTGTTTTAAAGTGTTAACTTCTGTTAAAGTGTTGACTTCTGACTCGTTGGTTCAACACACACATTCATTGCTTTCTTTGTGTGTCACACATTTCTTGAAACAAATAGACTCAGTGAGCCTGCTGCTGGAGGCAAATAAAGTTTAACCATCCCTGCTGACACGATCTCTAGAAGGCTGAATTATTCTAATACACCTCTCACCCTACAGTCGACATGTCCATATTGAAACTTTGGACATAAAATGGTCTTTTACGTGACTGCTAAACTAGAAACCCTTAAATCCATGATGGTGTTGCTCTTTAATAGCCTCATCCAAATATTTGGAATATCAAACTTCCTCTTCACGACTAGCAGAGCTTGTTTCTCTGGTTTCATTTACAAGAAAAGCAAAACATAAAAGGAGCTACGACTGTCCTCACACAACAACAGCAGCAGACTTACACAGGTACGTTCTCTCATTTCCTGGTGGATTCATTTTTACTTACTTTCACTCACATGACTTTACCCTCGTCTCTAATGCAGCATTTATTTTATATTTACATGAAAAATGATCTATAAGTCTGCAATATTACAGTTTTGACAAACGTAATCAGTTTAACTTTCTGACACAGGGAGAGGTGAGTATCATGAAACCTGTTTGTTGTCGTGTCGCACGCACTGCTTTAGATACTGGACTCGTTTCTGAGCCACACCTGACAACATAAATAAAATTCTGGTTTAAAAGAAGTGTAATGAATAAAATAAAAGCATGTTTGGTCATGGCTATAAAATATGCTTCACTTCTTTGTTAAAGAATTACTTAGTTTGCTTTGTTTAATTAATCCTCTGTAAACTGAGTGTTGAGCGATCCTTCCCTGTTATTTATCTGAAGCTGACAGGAGGCTTCAGCCAACAAGTTACAGATACAAGTTATTAGTGTGATTTTCTCTCTTTATGTCACAAAGTTAAAGCTGTTTGAGAAAACAACATTTCTCACTAACAAGCCTCTCTTAACACCCTCTTAATTAAAAGTAAACTCTAATATTAAAAAAGTAACTTTTGATTTCAACTGAAGAAAACAACATTTTAAATTCCAACCCATAATAGATGGTATAAACCAGAGAGGAGACAAACAAGTAAAACCTGTTTCAGTGTTTGTGTGGCTGAATGACTATCAAATTATAAACTAGGAATACATTTAAAGCTGTTTTAATCATGATTATCCTATTAATCACAATATAATTAATAATATAAAGTATGCATGAACAATAAAAACAGTGACTTCTTAAATCTCCACAGGATGAAGATGTTTGGAAGAATGATGAGCTGCTGTGTGGCTCTCCTCCTGACCTTCAGCTCTGTGTCAGCTGTAAGAAAGCTCAACTCAATCACTCATCTGAGGTCAGTAGGCTTTGGCCAGTCTGTGCCTGAGCAGGGCATTTGGTTGCTCCGCTGGTTTGCCAGTGAAATTGACATTGACATAAACGGTGACATAAGTCTGACCTTTGACCCAAATAGTTTTGATTATGGCTCACATCATTATCGCAACGATGAACAGCTGTTAAACCCACTGCCGTGGGGATATCACTACTACAGTCTTGGGAATATCCATCAACAAGGATCGTTGCGACTTCCACATTATGTCACTCACCCTCAATCAGAGCACGAGTACGGCAACAGGGCTCGGATCATAATCAGAGTCTGGGAGCAGAATGTGGGATGGCGAACTTCACAGATAATAGACCGAGTCTATATCACACAGCATTATGAGACATCTGAACATCGAGGGACAGATTATGATCCACTACATACATATCGGGTCACTACTAACCTCTTAAGAGCATTGAGGAGGTTTTTCTTGGACCCTATTAACTTACTGATGTCTCTCAGAGATGATTCCCAGTTTTCAGAGGAAAGAAACACAAGAAACACGTGGGGCTACGTTGCCTGTCTTGGACTATTGCTGTTCACTGTGATGCAGGAGAACCATTCCTCTCACAACAGACGTCAGAATGATTGGTTCACTTGGGTCGGTTATTCAATCTGTTTGATTTTCATTATTTTTTTGTTTTTTTGTTTTTGGTCTTCTGTATCTTGAAAACTTGCCCAAGTATTAATTTAATTAAAATCAGTATCAGCACACAGAATGTGCTGTGTTTGCATCGCTAAAACTTCCCATTGTCAAATCCCTCTTGAATAAAATAATATAATATAATATAATATAATATAATATAATATAATTATTATGATTATTATGGATTTGAAATTTTACATAATTGGTACGATTATTGCGAAAGAACTTTTAAAATCAAAATAGTTACTATTTGAATATTAATTGCAACTATGGTGTTTTCCAATCAAGCCTTCGTCACTGTGCAGACAGTGATCTTATTAAAGGGGTTAAATTATATCTGCCTGAATACAGACACTGGCATTATTAGAGTCTTATGGGAACCATTCTCAGATTGTTAAATAAAACTTAGAAGGTCGGGATTATTTACCATGTGAATTCCACAATGCAGATGACATCTATATTTAAGGCTGTAACCGAATCAGCTTCTTTTTTTAAAAAAAGAAGCTGATTTACTGATTTATTTTTTGGTTGACTACTGCAACGATATTTTTATTAAAGAGCATATCACTCTGATTCTTAGCTCACTGCACAGACTTCCAGTAAGATAGTTAATTGTTTTTTTAAACTTACTTCAGATAAATCACTGAGAAAGTTTGGGCCCTAAATTTATACCTGACATGTTTAATTAATATGAACCTGGCAGGTATCTGCAGTAGAGCCGCTCATCCTGTGGTGCCTTGATGTGAAAATAAAGAGGGTGATATGACATTTAGTAGCGCTGCTGCCTGCTGCTCAAACAAACTGTCTTAGATCGTCTCCAACTATATCCCTTTCTATTTCAATAATCGTGTAAGTTGTTAAATTAACACCACATGGTCTCATATTTCATGCCTTTCCTTACAATGGGTTTATTCATCATATAGTCCATTTTGGGGAAATGTGCTTATTATCATCAGTCATCTTTGTGTCATTGGAACAGCAATAAATGAACATTTCAGCATCATCTGCTTGACTCGTGCACATTCGTCACTGAGCATCACTTTCATCCAAACATCCACAGTCAACAATGGTTCTTCTTTAGGAGTCTCTAAACTTGTTGTCTCCTCTTTAGATTTTCATTTGGATTATTATGTACATCAATTTCATTTATTACAGTTCTGTCACAACGCTGGCTCCTGTTGCTGCCTGTTTTATGCATTCATTTTCTATTGGGTGTTATGTTTGATGCCCCTGATCCACAGTGACTGTTTCTTTACAGCTTGGAGATGTTTCATGAGGAATGTTGTAAAGCTTAGAGTTAGATGACATTTAATCCTGTAACATTATTTTGTCAGTTTCAGATGCTGTGCTTCGTGACGCCCTGACTCTGAGCTCTTTGATGATTTTATTTCCACAATGTAAGCAAAGAGCAAACACCTTGAAAACAGACTTCTCCTCCAGTAAGGTGTCACGCTCCAGTATTAAAAGTGTACTAATATAACTAAAGAGAGAAGTACTGTAATCCTAAACAAAGTTCTACAGGGTCACTCACTGCTAAAGTGTTGACTTCTGACTCACTGGTCGAATGCACACATTCATTCATTAAAATACTTTTATGCCAACATTTACATGGTTTTCTTTGTGTTTCACAGACTTTTAGTACAAATCAAATAAAAAATAAAACTCAATTTCAGTTACAGTTTGAGATAATGAAACTAAAAGTCTGAGTTGTAACACACACAATCACATCTTTCTATGTATGAATGATCTCAAAGTTATTATATGATGACAGTAACTATAGAACGCCTTTAAATAAGGAAACTTGAATGACCAAACAAATCATACAAGAAAACACTGCCACTGAATAAATGTGTACACTATTTAAAATTCATTTGTAACCAGCTCCTATATTAAACAATACTGCAACCTCTCACTCTACAGTCGGGCAGACACGCCCATATTCAAACTTTGGCCATAAACTTGCTCATAAAATGATCAATAATTTGCTTTCACGTGACTGCTAAACTAGAAACCCTTAAATCCATGATGGCGTTGCTCTTTAATAGCCTCATCTAAATATCTGGATTGTCAACCTTCATCTTCGCCACTAGCGGAGCTTATTGCTCTGGTTTCATTTACCAGGAAAGCAAAACTTAAAGGGAGTTACGACTGTCCTCACACAAACAACAGCAGACTTACAAAGGTAAGTTTCCTGGTGGATTCCTTTTCACTTACTCACATGATTTTGCCCTAAAGCAGAATTTTTTCTATATTTAAAGATACAATGAAGTGGGTTTAACATGGAGTGGATCACACTGCACTTAAATTACAAGCATACTCATTCACATGAAAAATGATCTATAAGTCTGTAGTATAATTACAATTTAGAAAAATGTCATAGTTTCACTTTCTGGCACAGGGAGAGGTGTGTATCATGACACCTGTTTGTTGTCGTGCCGCACGCACTGCTTTCGCTACTGGATTAGTTTTTCCGTTTTCAGCGTTTTGATTTCAGTTTTGATTTCGGTCCGGAGCCACTGGACGGCCAGTAACAACCTCGGTTAACACTGCTTAATTTAAATCATCGCTCCCTGGGATATTTTGGATTAAGGACGCTAGTGGCAAACTTGCTAACGGGTCATCGGGGTAACGCTACGGGCGCGTCTCTAAATATGAGCCGAAGAAAGGACCGACAGCTGAGGAAGGCGATGATATTAAGTCGCTGGAGTTTATGACAGGGGAGATTTCTACGGAGCCCCGCAAGGGACATAGGAGGGAAAAAAGTAAGATGAACTTTTGCGAGATAAACGTTTAAGATATTTTCAGGCGTGAATGTAGCCGTGTAAAAAATCAAATATCTGATCGGTTTATCAAGACATCACATATTTGCAAAAGTGCTCCGACGTTTTCGGAGACGTCTGTTACCCACCAGCTCGAAGCTAACAGGAGTTCGAGACATAAATTAACATATGCCAGGGGGTGTAATATAAAAAAGTTAAATACATTCAAATAATTTGTAATTAGTACAAACAGTGGCTCTGCTATGCTCCAATCCCTCCATATTGTGGCCAATCACATGCGAGGATATGATAATATCATTATGTGAAAAACAGAGAGGGTGAGAGACGCGGCAGTCTTCAGGTGAAGGCAGATGGATTATTCTGGTTTTCAAATTGGACAACACCTTCTTTATAGTCTGTAATTTATACAGTCATAACAACACAACTCAGGCCAAATCTATGTGCATACAATTATCAGAGAAACTTGATTTTTTTTTTAAATCAAAATATAAGGGAGCCCACATGATTCTTGGAGGAGATTAATTACAATGATGCTCCAGACGATCTTATAGATAGAGTGCCAATAAGAACATCTCAACACTCAAAATTTAAAAGCACTGCATTTTTCTGTGAACAACTTGCAGTTATAGATGTATGGAGATTCTTCAACTCTGATACAAAAGAGTTTACCTGGAGCAATGCAAATAGATCTCTACAATCCAGAATTGATTTGTGGTTAATATCTTCTTCATGTTTACATTTTGTTACAGAATCTTCTCATGATTTTGCTCCATTAACTGATCACAAATTGATTACAATTCACTTAGTTGGCAATAAACAAAGTCAAAGTAAACTACGTGGTTTTTGGAAGCTAAATAATAATTTATTGAATGATGATACATTTTGTAGTATAGTGGAAAAAACGGCAGAACAGATGGAAAAAACTAAAACTATATTGAACTTATGGCTCCAAAGAGACCTATCCATTTTTGGTAGAATCCTTTTGACTAAAGCTGAAGGTGTTTCCAGATTTGTGTATCCAGCTCTTTCCCTTAATGTGTATGATTCCACATGTAAAAATGTTAATAGCTTATTTGTTAACTTTGTATGGAAGAATAAGCACCATCATCTAAAAAAATCATTGCTTTGTGGACCTAAAGATAAAAGTGGTTTTGGCCTTCTGGACTTCATGGACCTGAACTATACATTTAAGGTGAAATGGCTAAAAGAATGCTTAAAATCTCCTGGATCATTATGGCATTTCATTCCACATAACATTTTTAGAAATGTTGGAGGTTTACAGTTCCTATTGTCTTGTAATTATAGTATATCAAAGTTACCAGTTAAAATGTCTGTATTTTATCAACAGGCATTGTTGGCTTGGAAATTATGTTATTCACATAACTTTTCTCCACATAGATCTATTATCTGGAATAACGAATGTATTACTAAGAGGAACAAATCACTATATTTGCAGAATTGGATTGATAAAAATATAATATATTTAAAAGACTTATTTGACTCTGAAGGCCAGCTACTTAGTTACAATGACTTTATTACAGAAAAAATATTCCCTATCAAATTTAAAGATTTTAGCTCTGTAATAAAGTCCATTCCCAGTGGACTGACTGAGTTGATGAAAAGCTACAAAACACAGAACACACCACATGCATCCGTTAACACTCTTTATATAAATGGTATTGATTTCTTAAGCAAGAAATGCACCAATAAACATATTAGAGAATGTTTGTATAATGCGAAGAAAATAACTCCAAGAGGGAAGTTTTTTCGGAATGCTATTTTTGATAATATCAACTGGGATAAAGCGTGGCTTGTTCCTTTTAGATTTTGTATTACAAACAAAGTTAGAGAATTACATTTGAAAATATTACATAACATATATCCATCTAACACGTACATTTCAAGATTCTGTGACATTGATAGAAAATGTACCTTTTGTAAAACTGAACTTGAAAGTGTTACCCATTTGTTTTATGGCTGTTCATATAGTGCTACATTTTGGAGAGAGCTTGAAAATTATATACTGTGCAAGACAACATACGAAATCAAAATTGAAGGGAAGAACATTATCACTTATTTTGAAACTAAAGAAAAAAAAATATGTGCCATTGTCAATTTTTCTATCTTATTAGGGAAATTCCATATATATAAATGTAAATTTCAAAACTCAACCCCATCATTTAATTTGTTTTTGATTGAAATTGAATATTACTTAAACTCTCTTAAATTAACTTCCAATAAAAAAGATTTATCATTGATTGAAATTCATTCAGAAATGTTTAACGAATGAGCTGTCACAACTTTCAAGTACAAAGTTGTTATGAAGTCTGTCACATCCCCCCCCTTTCTTTTTCTTTATTTATTTATCCTTCTTATTTCATTGTACTGTATATTGTTACTCTTATTTGCCTTGTATGTCTACTGTACAAACTGAACTAGAATGACTGACTGTTCGCTTTATAATTTCAATAAAGTTAAAGTAAAAAAAAAGGCCCTGGAAAGGAAATACAGAAAAGAAAAAGAGAGAGAGAGAGAGACGCGGCAGTCGAGTGGAGCTGTCCTCTCAGTAAGTGAGTGAGACAGTAGACAGCGGTGAGGAGGGCCGTGCGAGTGCATCGCAAAAACACATAAATATGCCTGACACCCGTAAACAAAGCAGCATCTGGCTGCAGTTTAAAGACTTTTTTTGTCTCGGTCTCAGTCTTGACTTTGTCTTGGTCATGACTTGGACTGTCCTCGTCTTGATCTTGGTTTAGGCCAGCGGTCCCCAACCTTTTTTGCGCCACGGACCGGTTTATGCCCGACAATATTTTCACGGACCGGCCTTTAAGGTGTTGCGGATAAATACAACAAAATAAAACTAGTACCGGTACCGAAAAAAAGAAAATGTATTCATAGCACACGTGAAAAGACCCAGGAAAACCGAGTAAACGATAAAAACGATAACAAAATAACGCTGAAAACCGATTAAAACCCTGAAAACTATACATTTCACACCTGAGCCTCAACTCTCGCGGCCCGGTACCAAACGACTCACGGACCAGTACTGGTCCGAGGCCCGGGGGTTGGGGACCGCTGATTTAGACAGTCTTGACTACAAGTCTAGTTCTCACCCACTATTTTCATAACAGTGACGTGTATACATGTGTGTTGGTGCAAAAGTATGTTTATACACTGCATACATACATACATACATACATACACACACACACATATACATATA